ATCCTTAACAATACTTTCCATTACTTTACAAACAACAGAGGTCAATGAAATAGGACGGTAGTTACCTGCATTCAACCTATCCCCATTTTTAAAAATTGGAGTGATATTCGCTTTTAACCAGCTTGTAGGCAATGTTCCAGTTAGAAATGATTGGTTAAATATCATACAGAGTGGTCTAGTTAAACTCTCAGCACACTTACTTAAAAACATTGGATGAATTCTATCGATACCTGGGGACTTGTGCACATTTAGATTCAATAATCGTTTTTTAATATCTTTCTCATTAAACAATGGGGTTGGGCAAATTTTTCTGTTATATTTTCACATGTAGGCATATTAGTTAGGCTTTCGTTTATGAATACAGAATTGAAAAACCGATTTAACTGATTAGCAATAACTTGACTGTCAGTTGATATTTCATTGTTTTCAATTGAAATTGCTCTTATATGGTCTTTAGCTTTTAGTTTACTGTTAATATAAGCATAAACTTGTTTTGGATTTTTTTTGATTCTGTTGCAATTTTATTTTCATATTTTTGTATTGTAATCTTTACAAGTTTTTTAACTAACTTATTTTTTAGTTTATATTCTTCCTTAAGATCTAAAATTTTGAAATGAGAGGCTTTGTATCAATACCAAAGGTTACGCTTAAGTCGAATTTTGTGTTTTAATTCTTTATTTATCCATAAGGATCTTTTGCTTTCAGTTGTTTTTTGATTAAATGACGGTATGAAATCTTTACAGCCGTATTCAATAGTTCTAATAAAACTTTCATAACACTGATCAACATTAAGTCCAGTAAACTGATGACTCCAGTTAAATTTATTTAAATATTTTGAAAATTCATGATAATTTCCTTTCATGTATACTCGCTTTGTAGTAATACTTTCATTTTTGCGATTATGTAATTGATAATTAAAATTAAAATTTAAAACATGATGACCTCTTTTTGTTTTCCCCAAAGGATCCATATGTACCAAGCTGGATATGCGAAAAGGAGAAGCTGTAAATACTAAATCTAATATATTTGTTAATTTTGTGTCATTTAATTGAAATGTTGGTTTTTTTACATGTTGTGTGAGATAACATTCTTCAATGCATTCTAGAAACTGTCTCTCTTTTTCTCCAATGCAGACACTTTCATAACTAGAATTCCATATACTATTCAAGGATGGAAAATTGAAGTCACCACATATCAAAACCTCAGTATATATTTTAGTTTTTGAGAAGTAATTGTAACTTTCTTTAATAGAATTGATTACATTTTAAAAGTTTACTAAATCATCACTTCCTGGTCTATAAATACAGCCACATAATATGCATTCATTGCTCATTTTAATGGTACACCATATCTGCTCAATATTTTTATTATTATAGGGTTCATTATTGACTTCAAATGAATCAATTAGGTCATTTACATAAATACAGACTCCACCACCTCTGCTATTCATTCGGTCTCTGCGATAAATGTTATAACCAGGTATAATTGTTGCTGAAGTATCATTCCACCATGTTTCTGTTATGAAAATTATATCTGGAGAGCTTATTTCAATTTCAGCTATAACTTCATTTAATTTATTTTTTTCAAATGATGTAGCATTGGTATATAAACATTTCAAACTATTTGAGTTGTATCCAGTACTTATAACTGGCTTTTGTGCATTATCATTTATTTTAATTTTAAAATCTTGGATACCGGTTACAGTTCTTTTAAACATTAGAATGTTACTTATTTTGTTTGCCACTTTATACTCAAATTGCTATTTTTTTTAGTCAGTTTTACAACTTTATTACTTCTTATACCATAATAAAATGAACTATTGTTCATGCCTGAATTTCCGTTTAAAATTTTCACTTCAGACCTTAATTGCTTCGTTAAAATTCTTTCTGCTTCAGTCATGTCAGTATAAAAGTAAATATTTGGTATTTTATCCCTGTTACGAAAAGCTGCTTTTAGCACTTGGTTTCTTGCATGCACGTTATCAAGTTCTAAACAAACTGGGGACTTTTGTGACATATCATTTGATCGTAATCTTTTAATTCTTTTGATTTGCACACTTTCTAAATTTATATCTTTTATGACTTTTAATACCTCTATTTTATCATCTTCTTTTCGTTCATTTAGATCACTTTTTGCGGAATGATTTAAACCAAAAACAATAACATTGTTTTCTCTTCTAGCTCTCTCAGCTGTTTCAATTGCTACTGTATTTATAATATCTATTTGTAATGGAGTCTTTACACTATTTTTGCTGGCGACGACATTCCACGCCTTATCATTTATTATACATGAATTGTTTTTATTAGAAGTGTTTTCCTCTTCCAATTTTATTATTCTTTCTTCTAGATTTTTAATTCTTTCTTCTTTAAAGTTTAGCTTTAATTCTAATTGTTTAATTCTCTCTAATTCTCTAATAAATCGTCTAGTTTTTTTTCTTCTTCTTTTTTAGGAGGCATTGTGATTGTTGTTTTATTAACTTTTTGTTTACTTTTTTAAAATAATACGTCTGCCATCTTTAAAACGGCAAAAATACTCTTTTTGTAATCGCTTATAATTAATACTTAACTTAACGCTGCTGCTCACCATTCGTGCACCTTTACACGGACTTTTTTACCATACTTGGCCTTTGAGTTTTATTATAAATTGCTTTACTTCTGAACTCGCCTAATGAGGCTCTTTCAAATCTTAATAATCTGTCAGTATCTGCTTGATCAGTAATGAGATCAAAAACTTTGTTTCATCAGCTTAATTAGTGATAAGATCAACAATTTTTATTTATGAACGATATGTTATTATTGAATTAGTAAAGTAACTTTTAAAGTCAGGTGGTTTATTTAAATCATGCATTTTAGTCTTTTGTCAATTGTATTTAAATTTATTAATTTATAAAATTAATCTGTAATTTTTAAATTAAAAGACGACTCAAGAAGACGTTGCTCATTTCAAAGGTCAAGAGGTCAAACTCTTGATAAAGTTAGTGTTTAAAACACTTGCATCTCACACGGTCAACTTAATGTTACATGTTAAAGAACAAGATCGTTTAATACCTTATTTAAAAGAAGTTATAAAAATCCGTATAAAACACCAGATTGTTTGATAGTTTGTTTTTGAAAGTTGTTAAACATTTATTACGAGGTATTTCAAAAAACAAAAATAAGGTTGTATTTGTAAAGTTTCAAATTTATATATTTTTCTTAATTTATATATTTATCTATATATGTGTGTTATTTATATTGTGTTTAATTGTGTATATATGTGTTAAGGTTATATGGGTTTATATTTTGTAAGTGTGTAAATATATGAAATGTTTCAATGTTTGTGGTGTGTTATATGTAATATGTTTATAGTTTGTAAGTGATAATTATGTTGTTTGCATGGTTTCAAATTTTTGTGACTGGGCTTAGTTTACAGCAAGATTGTTGACCTTGCTAGCCAAGAGGTGTACTTTGCTATAATGTGACCTGGCTTTGTTGAGAGCAAAAATATTGTCCTCGCCAGCTGAGTGGTGTATTGTCATAATAAAACACATAAATTAATTCTGTTTGTAATTAGTGTATTTCTAAAATGTGTTGAAAAAATATTGTTGAAAAAATGTGTTTTAATGTTGTTATCCTCTGTTCTTAACAATGTATGCTTTTGACAATAAATAAATTTTGTTAAAATGCAGGATTTACTAACAGCTCCTCCTCATTAAAATTTTTAAGAGTTTCGATTTTCTTCATTAAATATGTTTAACTCAAATTTTTTTTATATATATAAAAGTAAGTATACAGCGTGTTGAAGCATAAGTTTTAATAACTTTTGTTAAATTTTTAGGATTTTTTGTATAGAGAATGTTTTCTTTATATTATTATTTTAATGTTTTGTATGTACATCAATATATATATATATATATATATATATATATATATATATATATATATATATATATATATATATATATATATATATATATATATATATGTATATATATATATATATATATATATATATATTTATAATACATATATATATATATATATATATATACATAATTATCACTTACATATTTATATAAGTAGTATATATGATAATTATATATATATATATATATATAATTATCATATATACTACATATATATATATATATATATATATATATATATATATATATATATATATATATATATATATATATATATATATATATGTGTGTGTGTGTGTGTGTGTGTGTATGTATATAAATAGACACACACACAATAAAATATATAGAATTAAAATGTCTATACATATATTATATGTATAGACATTTTAATTTTTTTGCCTTAAATTATTGTCCCTTTTTCTTTAGAATATTAACTATCTAAAAAAAAAAAAAATAGTAAAAGAAGTTTCAATATTTCCAAGTTTCTTCACTTGAAGCAAATATATGATTGTTTATAGAGGTTCTTTTAGTAGTTTTGTATTTATTTATTGCAAATCTTGCGTTCAATGCCTTTCAAAGTAATGAAAGGGTTTTGTTGATGGATGATTACATTTTATCCTTCCATGCTAGCAGTACTTGCTGAGTTGACAGGCCTTAAATTTTTTTAATTTGCTTTATTTATGAGTTCTTATATGTAAAAAATTTGTTTTTTAAATTACATTTTTTTTTTGTTTTTTTTTTGTTTTTGATTAAATACTTATAATATTTTGTCAATAATTAATAACAACTACCATAAATATATAAACAATACTTAGTTGAAAATATTATATTAATTTATAACTTTAGTTTAAGTTTTTAATAAAACTATGTTATCTTAACACAATGCTATATATGGTAGAATATAATAGATTATAGTATTATGCTCTGTATTATTTGCTTACACTTTATTTTAGATAAGTTTAAAAAAGAAACTTCAACTTTTATTATATTAGGCATCATTTTTACACACTCCTTTGATGCCTAATTATGTCTAATAATTTAAGAAATGAAATTATTAGACTTCGTCAAAATGAAAGAAGGCAGGCTAGGCGAGCTGAGATAAACCGCCGTGGAAATGAAAGAGATGAGCCCAGGCGAGCTGAGATAAATCGTCGTCGAATTGAAAGAGATGAGCCCCGGCGAGCTGAGATAAATTGTAATCAAAATGAAAGAAATCAGGCTAAGCGAGAACTTAATAGGTATAATATGCATTGCATAGCAAGAAATAATATTGCTATAGAGAGTAACTACCTCGGAGAATTAAACCATAATTGTCAGTATTGCAGTGCAAAGAAGTTTTTAAATTAAACTCAATTTTTGTGCTGCCATTCAGGAAAAGTTGTATTAGCTCCTCTTTCTCTTTATCCGCCATTGTTGACTGGTTTAATGACAGGAAACCATGTTGATCATGCTGTAAATCAAAATTTTTTTAAACACATAAGGAGTTATAATTCCTCTTTATCTTTTGCTTCTTTCACTGCCGAAATAGCTCCTCCCTCAAATAATGGCCCTTTCTGTTTTAGGGTCTGTAGGCAAATTTTGCATCGTGTTGGAAATTTAAGGCCTGCAGAAGGTTGTCTTCCCAAATATTGTCAGCTGTATATCTATGATCCTAATGCAGCAGTGTCATTCAGAATGGAACAACCTGGTAATGATGGTTGTATACATGAGTTAATGCAACTCTTGCAAACATTAATTAATCAAGAAAACCCATTTGCTCTTGCATTTAAAAACATGGCAGAAGTAGAGGATGAAGAAATCCGCCAAGCAGCTTTAGAAGGTAGACCAACCTCTGTTGTAAGAATGTCTTTGCTTGAAGGTCATGTTTTTATTGCATTTTTAATTTTCTTTTATTTATCTCTAGCTGCTGCTTCTTCTGTTACAAGTAAGTTGTTCTATTCACTTATACTTGACTTGATTTATGGATTAATTGGTTTTATTGCATTTTTAACTTTCTTTTATTTATCTCTAGCTGCTGCTTCTTCTGTTACAAGTAAGTTGTTATATTCACCTTTACTTGACTTATTACATTGATTGATTGCTTTTATTGTACCTTTTGTTTTTTAATATAGCTACAAATGTGCTTTCCAGTTTAATTAGTTAATGTAATAAGTCAAGTATTAGTGAGTAAAATAAATAAGTTGTTGTGCTCACTTGTACTTAATTTATTACATTATTTGCTTTTATTGTTTTTTTACAGTAGATTTTTTGTAAGTATTACCTAGGTAGATAGTTGTATTTATATATAATTTTTTTTTCAGGCTCAAAGTCATGGGAAGATTTCCGAAAGTATCGCTCCCAGCATCCAGGCTCTCTATCTATGAGGGCCTTCCATCGCTGGTGTTTTTATGGGGACGACCATCCCTCCTTTAGATGGAGGGATGGCACCCCATACAACATGGGGAATAGAGCGGATGCTAGGAGGAGAAGACAACGTGGCTCAAAAGTTGTCAATAATTTTTTTACATTTTAAAATGTAAAGAAATTGACAACTTTTGAGCCACTTCATTTTTTTTTTTTTTTGTAATATATTTTTGTAAATTTATTTTTGTGTTGTTTTTTAATTTTTCCCATGAATGTTAAATGTTATCAAAGTAAATCATTTAAATAAAGACACCTTTATCAACAATGCTCATTAACTAGAAATAAAAGTCACGGTCATACATTTGATAAAGTTAATGTTAATCTCAAAGGGATTTGGTTTTCACACAGTCAAATTCTATGTAGCACCTTCCAGAACTAAGAATATAAGTGAGTGGTGTTAGTATAATATGTATAATAAACTCAGAATAACTCAATAACCCTCAACAAAACTATGAACTAATTTTGAAATTCAAGTTGAGCTTTTTTATTTATTAATACCTCCCCTCCCAATAACTCTAATTTTCCTTAAAAAACTAATTTTTTTGTCCTTTGAAGGTGGTTCTGCTATTTAATTAATTGTTGTGATGTTTTATGCAAATAGATTTAGCTCACATTCATGTTGGTCTGTCAGGGTTATGTAAAAATAAAAAAGTAAGTTTCTTATTCGCATTTTTGAGTTTTCAAAAGTATTGATTGCATGACATGTTAATTTGTAATTAATGTGTATGATTATGCGTTTAAATAACTTTGTTCCATTTTTAGTTCCATTTCTTATAGCTAACTTGATTATGGCTTGCCTAAAGCTTAATATTTATGAAACAATGATTCAATTTAAATTGTATTATAAGTAGCTCCGTTGAATAAATTTTTTTTTTTGTAATTTGTGCTAAAGGTTGTATTTTTATTTTATATCAAGAAAAATATGTTTTTAAGTAAATATCTATATTTTTTTATTTTGGGATTTATTGTTTTAAATGGATATAAAAATCATTTTTGCTTTGTCTTTTATATTTCCTTTTATTATATATAAATAGGAACCATTTATGCTTTAATCACTATTAGCACTCGAAGTTTCCATTTGCATTAAGTATCGATTTTTGGCACACACAACAGGTTTAATAACTTAGGCAGTAAAAACAGCTTGAATGATTTGTTAAGAGTCTTTAAAGAAACGCTTTTACGAAAAGCATTAAATAGATAAAGCTAACTTATTTAAAATAATAAGTCTTTAACCCGTTTTTCTATATTCAAATTTACTTTTTAAATAAATGTTGATGAAAGGGTAAAATATCGTTATAGCCTACGTTAATTTTAAATTCTTTTTAAATTAAAGGAAAGAGTTTTGATACTTATTTAAATAGGGTTAATAAAATATTTTAAACTATATTATATATATTAAATTTCAGAAATTATTAAACTAAATTAAATAAGATTTTTAGATGAAACAGTAAAAATAATTGTTTAAAATACGTGCGTGCAAATAATTCCTACAAATACTTAACGTAAAATAACGCTTACAAACACCAAAAGTATGTTTGCAGTGAATAAAGTTAAGTTCAAAGATAAATAGGAAGAAATGTTTAAAACTTTTTCAATAATAACATTTATTTTTAATTACTTTTGTTGTAAGTTGGGATGAAAAAAAAAGGTCACTGGAGTATGAACTCCCGGGGTGAGATGACTATATCTGTCTAAGTGTTGCGCGTCTACCAATTAGCCCATAAACGTATTTTCTATTTAGAATTTAAGATTATTTATGACGTATAAGAAGTGTCAAAACCAAGTTTGCAACAACTGAATTTAAATAAAATCTAATTAGATGTGTATATGTTATGAACGTTAACTAAGGCGTACTTTAACAGCGTCACGTGTTGAATGTTTTAGCGTTTTCCTAAGTTCGTAGTCTTTTTTACGTTATTTCTTATTAAAATTTTTATAATCGGCATAATATTAAAATCGTTTGAAGTTTTAAAAGAACATTTTAACAGAAATGTTTTTGTCATATCAAAAAGTAAGTATAGTTTTTTATATGTACATTTTTAAACGGTTTTAAAAAAATATTGAGGTAAGGAATAAGTATAGAAAAGGTCGGTGTGGAATAGATTTACTAAGACCCTTAGTTTACGTCCGGATAGCTATAGATAAGTATAAAAATGGTCGGTTCGGTAAAGACCCGTATTTTACGGGTCCCCCCCTGCTAGTAATTATGATTATTGTAATTATGGAAGAGAAGATCAAAATAAGCGGCACAAGCTTTCAGACATTCATCATGAGGCAGTTTCTTTAGTATTTTCTCTGAGATTAAACAGTAGTTTACCACATAATATAATCTCATGTGTCATTCCATCCTTCAATCACATGGCTGACTGTTTATCAGATTATTTAAATGAACAAGTTCAGGAGTTGTTAAAGTGTGTGCCTAATATTCATCAAGATGTTGTAAATAATATTGAAAAAGTATTTAAGGTTTGAAAACCTCTCGATTTTCTTTCTAGACAATACAAGCAAGATAAATATTTTGCTGAACATCCCCTTTTTTTTAATTCTGTAACACTTCCAATTGGTTTTAGGTATGAGGTTAAAAATGGAATAAATAAATTAATCTATTGCACCTATGAATATGTGTCAATTGAAAACAATTTTCGTAGCTTATTTAATAGTTAAGAATTTGTAGAATTGATGTTTAGTAGTCAAATTGAAGATGATGATTTAATTAGCTGTTTTCAAGATGGAGAACGCTGTAAAAAGCATTATTTATTTAGTGACAATAATAAATTTTCTATCATGATTCAACTATTCTATGATGGTATGGGCACAACAAATCCACTTCGTGGAAATGCATCAACCAGCAATGTTGGAGTTTTTTATTATACAATCCAAAATTTGCCTCCGAGTCATAACTCTTGTTATGCTAATATACATCTATTGGCGCTTTGTTATACTCAAGATTTGAAAGTTTATAGCTACAATAATATTTTAGAACGCTTTGTAAGTGAAATGAAAAAACTACAATCTATTGGCTTTAGTGGGGACTTTCCAAAAATTGGTTCTAAACAGATTTATGTTGGTCTTTGTCAGGTGTCTTGCAATAATCTTGCTCTCAATAGGTTGTTTGGCTTTATTGAATGCTTTTCAGCAGATTTCTTTTGCACTCTATGTTTGGCAACCAAAGAAACAATTCAAACTAAAACATATGAGCCAGATTATTGAAATAAAAACAATAGCTTCTTATAATGATGATCTGAAAGCGTTAGAAACCCTTGCTTTAGGAACTCATAGTCATGGTGTCAAAGCAACTTGCTCCTTAAATAAAATTCCTGGTTTTCATGTGGTTGAAAATTTTGTTCTTGATCCAATGCAAACACTACTAGAAGGTGTTGTACCTTTTGAACTTGGTTGCATTCTTTTCTATTTGATCAAAATCAAACATTATTTCTCATTATCAGTTTTAAATACTTGAATGCATCATATTTTTGGACGTAATACAGTTGAAAAATCTAAACGACCACCAACAATTTGCCAAGTTGAGAAACCAGGAAGAGGTTTTTCACCTTCAATGAAGGCGATTCAAATGTGGTCTTTGCTTTAATATTTGCTTATAATTGTTGGTCGATTTGTACCTGAAGATGATGGCTGCTGGATTTTTTTGTTAAATTTATGTGAACTTGTAGATTTAATATTTGCTCCTAGATTTACCAAAGAAATGATAGCATATTTAAGAGTCTTTATATCTTATCATCTATCGGATTTTAAGAATCTGTTTGGACAAGTAGCAAAGTTGCGTCCCAAACATCACTTTCTGGTCCACTTTCCTACAACTATTATAAAAAACGGACCTCTTGTTGGAATGAATTGTCTTCGATATGAGATGAAAAATTCTTTTTTAAAAAGATCTGCTAATGTAGTTTGACTCTTTGTTAATATTTGCAAAACTCGCCATCAGTGTAACTCCTTTTACTCTCGCTTTTCAAAGCAATATTTGAAAAATATTATCAGTGTAGGTAATAAATCTGAATTTATGGTTGCAAGTCTTGCTGGTACTTACCATGAATGTATTTGCATTAAACTTGGTATAGAAAAAACAGAAGTTATTTGTTTAGCTTTGAAATTGAATGTTGATTCTATTTTATATCGCAAAGGCCATTGATTTGTGATTGGTCGCAGAATAAATGGTGACCCAGTATTTGGAAAGGCGTTTGTTAGTTTATACTGATAATAAAAAAATGGTGATCCAGTATTTGGAAAGGCATTTGTTAGTTTATACTGATAAATGGTACATTTAGTGTTTTTTTGTGGTACATTTGGTGTTGGTACATTTTATACTGATTAATGGTACATGTGCTGCATTTATGCATTACAGAATATTTTTGTAGCCATTTTCATGCTTATGTCGTATCTCAGAGTTTGTCTGCAGAATTTATATGTATATCCATTGACAGCATGTGTGAACATAATCCCCCATTTAATTATTTGCAACCTGGTAAAGATAACATAAATTTTATTCGACTTCCCTACCATATTGTGTGTTAAAGGCTGTGTTAACTGTTAATTTAATTATTGGATTTTAAAATTAAAATAAAAGTCTTTTTAAATTTTTATTGTTATTACTTATGTGATATTTCATTCTCTGATTAATTTTGTTTAATTTTTACTAAAAACAACAAAACAATTTTGTTTTAACTTTATCATTTTAATACTGTCATACATTGAATATTGTACAGTATTAATTATTATTAGTATCATTTACATTGTTCTTGTTTGATATTAAAATACAAAAAATGTTTTGTAAATTGAAACGTTTTTATTAATAATTTTGTTATTTTTAGTTGAGTTTCTTTTTCAAAAAAAAAAAATGGATGTTCTTTTTAAGCATTTATCGGGTATCGTGAAAGGGGATCTAACAGATGAAGTTATGTAGTTATATATCAGATGAAGTTATGAAGTTATATATCTTCTCCATAAGCTTTCTTCTTACAGTGTATCTGGAAACATCTTTAAGATTATCGAATCCTTACTTTCCAATCGTAGTATAAAAGTTGTCCTCGATGGACAGCACTCTTCTTCTTATTCTGTAACCTCAGGGGTTCCTCAACGTTCAATCCTTGGCCCTATACTCTTTTTAATTTACATTAACGATCTTTCAGATATTCTCACATCTAAGGTGGCATTGTTCGCTGATGATACTACCATTTATTCTTGTCACGATAAGAAGCCAACTCCCTCTGATTGCTTGCAGGGGGCATCTGAGCTTGAAAAGGATCTCACTTCTGCTACAGCATGGGGCTCACAGTGGCTGGTGAACTTTAATTCAGATAAAACTCAATTTTTTCAGCCAATCGTTATCGCAATAATTTAGACCTTCCTATATTTATGAACGGTAATGTACTCGATGAGTCTCCTACCCTTCATCTTCTAGGATTAACTCTTACTTCTGATCTTTCTTGGAAATCTTATATCAAATCCGTTGCAAATTTAGCTGCTAAAGTCGCTTCTCTTTATCGAGCTCGTCACTTTCTTACTCTGGATTCTATTCTCTATCTCTATAAATCTCAAATCCGGCCTTGTATGGAATACTGTTGCCATATCTGAGGTGGATCTTCTAATGATGCCCTTTCTCTTTAAGACAAGGTGCAAAAACGCATTGTAAACATAGTTGGACCTACTCTTGCAGCCAACCTTCAACCTCTGTCACATTGTCGTAATGTTGCTTATCTTTCACTTTTCTACAAATACTATAATGAGCACTGCTCTAAAGAGCTAGCGTCTCTTGTGCCATCTACAAAATTTCATTCTCATGTTATTCGTCATTCAATTAAGTCTCACCCTTTTTCTGTTACTGTTCCTAAGTGCTCCAAAAACTCTTATTCGTGTAGCTTTTTTCCTGGAACATCAGTTGTTTAGAATTCGCTTCCTTCATCTTGCTTTCCTGATTCATATAATTTGCAATCTTTTAAGTCGTCTGTCAATCTTCATCTTTTTTCTTCCAGTAACTTCCAACACTAATTAGTGTTTGCTTGCAGCCTTGTTGGAAGCGAAGATGTTAAAAAAATGTTTCAATATAGTTTCTTCTTTTTATGTTAGTTTAAAACTTCTTAACTTATATAATATTAATCATAGTTATAGTTTAATTGGACCAACTAATTATTACTAATTATTTAAATGAATAATTATTTTACTACTTTTAAACAATTTAAACTATATATTTCATTACTATTTGTTAATATCACATTGATAATAGCCGTAATTGACAAATTTTGTAACTTTTTATGAACCTTGGTTTATAGAAGAGGGATTGACTCTTGATTCCTTTGTTTTGCTTAATGAAGAAGATGTTAGAGAACTGGGTTTAAAGATGGGTGAGCGAAAGTTTTTGATGTCTTGGATAAAATCAAGTGGTAAAATAATTAATTATAATTAATGTTTTAAAATAATTTTTATAATAACTAAAATAAGTTTGTTTAAGTTTAAGTTAACAAAAGTACTTCTTTGCAGTTTGATAAATAAAAGTTTTGATTTTAGCTTATAATTTATTTGGTAGATATAATTTTAGTAAAAATGTGCTTCCGAATTATCTTCGCCAGAACTGGTTAAAATAATAAGTTTTTAAACACTCTAATTTTCGTAAATTTTAGGTTGTTATCTAAATGTAATTTTTTCATATTAGTAAACTCACAATCTTCAACAGAATGTTCATCAATGATGGATTCAATATCAGTATCAACTCCAGCTGCAAAAATGCTACTACTACCGGCCCATAATGTAGTAAATGTAGAGTCACAGGTAATGTAAAAAAATAGTATGAAAAAGTACATTTATGAATTATAAGTATAATTATATAGAAAACTAGCTCATTAGTAACAATTTTGTGCAGGTTTATGCACTTGAGGAAATATTATGTAACTATACAAAGGGAGAATCTAATATAGTTGAAAAGCTAAAACAAGGCATCTACTACACAAGATCAAAACGTGTTTTAATGATTAAAGTCCTTGGGAAATATCTGATGAAAAATTGTTTAATGTGAGTGCCATAGTGCAACATTTTTATCATTTTTTGTTTGATCTTTGAAATTTTTTAAACTGTAACATTTTAATTTTTTTACCCAATTCTCTTTAGTCAAAATGATCCTAGTTCATAAGAAATGACAAATTTGGCAAAGAGTATTGTCATGGAATTTCCAGTTCTTTTTTCCAAAACCACTCTAAATGGATATGTAAACATTAATTAGTTGTGCATTTTCAAATGCTATATAATTGTAAGACTATGCATAATCTAGCTCTTTTTTTTTAAAGGAAGAGATCTACTGTGCAAAGGGTGCCACTGGTTATCTTGTCCAATATGTGCGGCAAAAACGTCACAGAGACCCATTTATTAAAAAGCATTGGACTTGGCGAAAAAATAGTTTTTTTTTGTTTTTTTTAACAGAAATCTCAGCTACTTTTTTATTACCAAGATATGTATGTATGATTTTTAAAAATTTTTGTAGAGTCAGGATTAGTAATCCTTTACTAAACATTGAAGATGATGAGCGTCGACTTTAAGAAAGTAGGCCAACGGTAATAAACCTATCTGAGTTAGTGCAGCTCATGCACAACACTAAAGAGAATAGACGATCTTGGATCAAAACTTGCAATTCTGATGCCACTAGTATTTTAAACAGATTTCTTCTTTTATTTGATGTAAACGAGTTGGTATGCTTTTGTTTTTTCAATAAGTCCATAAATAAAAAATATTTTTAAAAATATAATAAAAAAGTAAATATATTATCATATGCAACTTAGTGAAACAAAATAAAAATTATCCTATAAACATATATTCTACGAAATAATTGTCAGGTTATCCTGATATTGTTAGAGTTTAATATAAATATGGATGGATTAGAATAAGTTTAAAAGAATTTTTACTGATAACAAAATTTCATAAATTATTTATGAAATTTTGCAAATATAACAATATTTTGCACACACACAAAAAAAGACGGTATTCTGTTATTATCATTCTGTTATTTTTAGATAAGGAGTTTTTAGCGATTGTAGGCGAATTTCTTACTCTGCGAGTTGCTATGTTATCTTTTCGTCAAAAAATACTTGTATACTCTGAAAAACTTAAAGATAACTCTACAAATGTTCAGAGCGTACCAATCAGACTAATTTGATGAAGATAAGCAACTTTCAGGATTTTTAAAACTATTCCTAATTATTACATAAATTAAAAATTATTTAATTATCTTTTTTAGACAAAAAGACTGAGTTATCGTTATTGCTGTTGCCTCACATATTGATTCTACCACCGCAACGAGGCCTAAAAGCTCCTAGAGACGGGAGGGATGTAGTGTCTAATCTAATGTTTGTGGATATGAACGAGGTAAGTTTAGATTATTTCTAAAAACAGTTCAATCATTCAAAAGTCAAGCAATTATTTTCAAATTTTCTTATAAATTATAAATCTTTATTAATTTTTATTCATACAGGAACAGATAAGTGTCCCTGAAGCAGTTGCTTCTCTACAAAAAAACGTATGGGCAGGTATAGACAACCTCCCACCAATACTTTTTCGTCTTGATAAGATTTATTACATCAAGTTGGATGATCGGCTCATCGAACTTCGTGATGCAGCTTGTTTTTGTGATGCGGTGGAGTTTTTGTTGAAGTGTTTTTATGTATTTAATTTAACTTATCCACACGAAATAAAGCCAGTTTATGGTCTGCTTGAGCATCTCATGCACATGAATGTTTCGATCGGAAAAAGTGCCGCTTTATCAGACTTCTTGGGAGCAATGACTTAAAAGTTGCACAAAAGAACTAAAAACAATTACTTTTTTAATTTTAGTAGAAAAAAACTTTATTAAATTTTGTAGTTATTTTTTGCTTTTATTTTAATCTTACGCATTATTACTTTGAAATAATATTAATAAGACTATCGAAATATAAACGAAAAATCCCACAGTTACACTTATGACATGGAATGACTCCTTGTTCGTATACGCAATTACTAAATACTTGCCTTTCATTAAAATTCAATTTTGAGTTGATTTGATAGCAGTATGAAGCGCGCAGTCCCTAAAATACAGAGTTTGAAAAAAAAAACGTTTACAACGCAGTTCTCGCTAAAGTAAGGTTTCTCAACATTTGTGTTGTAAAAAATGCAACATTAAATATTGCGTTAAATTACGCAACATTTAATGTTGAAAATTGTCAACACTAATGTTAGGGAGTCAAATACCAAAATCGAATGTTGCGCGGTAATCAACATTTTTGTTGCGTCTTCGCAACATCTGTTTTTTGTGTGTACTTCCGCATGAGCATTTAAGCTCGTAAACACCCGAATTTGAGCTCGGAGGAAGTTTTATTTTGTTATAGCATAGTATGTTATTTAAATTGGGGGCTGAAGTAAAATTTAATAATTAGCGATAAGAAATAAATAGTTGTTCAAATTTAGTTTGGCAGAAAGGTTCTTGTAGATTTTTTCCATTTGTTTATGGGCCTTAAATTATAAAGGTTTATTAATTCATCAGGAGATAAATGATTTTCACATTTAAAAATGAAACAAAATATTATAAATATTTAGTTCGTATACATTTAAGGCTTTCATTTCTCACAGAAGTGGTTTTCAATTTGAAAAACGACTTAAAAAATTAATTAAGCGAGCGGCGTGTTTCTGATGCTAATAAAAAGATTTAAGTTTAGTTTTGTTTATGTTTGGAGTTTGCTCGTTGATTTGAAAGACCAACAAATGCATGATCCGCCCCTGGTTATAGGTTAAATAAAAAAGATTTATTAATTTTTATTTTTATTTTAACGAAAAAAATATACACAAGCAATTTAATTCTGACGTTATGAAATCTGAGAACTACAATTATTAATACCTTTTTTTAAAAGAATATTTTAAATATGCAATTAATATGAATTAATTTTTTTAATAAATAAATTTAATTTAAACTTATTTTGTTTTTGAAATTTTATATTTCTTTATAGCCTGATGGTCCGTTACTAAATATAGTATTTGAAGGATCAAAAATTGAAGCTACTGGAATATTTCAATTTATATGATTAGTAAAGAAAAATTAGTCACTAGAGAGAAAAGATAGTTACACCGAGAAACCAACGATCATTAAAAGATCTATAAAATTACTTGCTCTAAATGCGGGTCAACAATGGATGTATTTAAACATTCAATATTGGATGTTTAGAAATTTCACTGAAAATTTTTTTTGTTATTATTTATGGTTTATAAAACCATTTTGTTATTTCTATATGTATGAAAAAAAACTCCATTAAAGCAAGTAAGTTAAAGCAAATATCATCTACTAACACAGTTTTTGCAACATCAACTTTTTTTTACTAAACATAATTACAGAAAAATAAAGAGTTATTTTACACTCTTTTTTTTTTTTATCATCTAATTCACCCAGTAGAGTTTTTTTAATTTAATGTTACTAACTATATAATTCAGGATCTCCGTACCAAAAACTTATCGTACCATGAAGTATCTATGATTAAGAAACTTTACCATGAAGTATTCATATTACGATTATAGCTATAGACTTATTTTTATATTTTTATAGCAAGGCTAAGATATGCAGTTAGCAAGGCTAAGATATGCAGTTAGCAAGGCTAAGATATGCAGTTAGCAAGGCTAAGATATGCAGTTAGCAAGGCTAAGATATGCAGTTAGTAAGGCTAAGATATGCAGTTAGCAAGGCTAAGATAAACTGTTGACATAGCTACGACTTATAGTTATTTGTGTATTGTAACAAAATTGCAATTTTTCAAGTTCAATTATACTAAGATCAACATTAAGAGATATAAGTCAAAATCAAAGAATAATGTAATAAAAAATTGTTCAAAAGTTGCTATAAAGATCATTTCTCACCAAGCAGCTTTAATATATTAAAGGATATTAAACTAATAAAAAAAATAAACTAATTTAGTACATTTTGTCAAACAAATAATAGAATATACTAATGTAGTCAATACATTATTTATATTTGAAAATGTATGAAAATATATACATATTTGATATGTATATATCAAATATGTATATATTTCATACTGTCATATGTACATATGACAGTATGAAAATATATACATATTTTCATACTGTTGTTATTTATTTTTTAATATTTAGTCGCCTCCCCAAGGCCATGAAGGCCACTACTGTCGAGGAGGCTACTTTAATTGTGATTACAACCCTCTCGCAACTCTATAATTTCGTAACACGAACCTTGAAGAACAAGGCCAATGCGTGAAGAAACACGTTGAGCACGGTACTACCAGGGACGTGGTGATGATCGAACTCAGAACTTTCAACTTATGAGCTCTACCACTAGTCTACTACCGCATAATTTTTACTACAACAGTATGAAAAGGTAATTTCTGTACTTTTCATATTATCATAGTAAAGACTAATGAAAGTTTACATTAACCAAAATCTGGTTAAAAATGTCATTTATGATTCGCCGTATTAGGTGAAGACAACAAAGTTATTTAACACGTATACGCTATACTTGAGAGAAATGGTGCAACCCATGCATATATTACTAGTAATATTTTATCAGAATAAAACATAACAAAGCTTTGTAGCTGTTATTGTAAAAATTACAAGGTACAAATACAAGCGCAGTTTTGTTATCAAACTGAAAATATTTATACAAAAAACAGGGGTAACGACATGGATTTCGAAGTTTTGGGTTCACGATTGTCAATTTATAAAAAAAGTGCATTATGTCTTGTTTTTCAGGAAAAAAAGAAAGAAAAAAATTCCTTTAGAAAACAAATTGGGGGGGGGGGGGGGAGGGACATCGGCCATAAAAAAGCATACAAATTTTAGGTGTCTGCTGCATTAACATGTAGATTTATTTACCACTGCAATGCATATCTGAATTAAAAAATAATATGATTTAAATTAAATTAGTATTGATTTTTTTTTTTTTAACATCTTCGCTTCCAACGAGGCTGCAAGCAACCACTAATTAGTGGTAGAAGTTACTGGAAGAGAAAAGATGAAGGTTGTATAGCAAGATAACGATTGACACACGACTTAAAAGATTTCAAATTATATAAATCAGGAAAGCAAGATGAAGGAAGCGAATTCCAAACAACTGATGTTCCAGGAAATAAACTAGACGAATAAGAGTTTTTGGAGCACTTAGGAACAGTAACAGAAAAAGGATGAGACTTAATTGAATGACGAGTAACACGAGAATGATTTTTAGTAGATGGCACAAGAGACGCTAGCTCTTTAGAGCAGTGCCCGTTATAGTATTTGTAGAAAAGAGAAAGAGGGGCAACAGTACGACGATGTGACAAAGGTTGAAGGTTGGCTGCCAGAGCAGGTCCAACTATGTTTACAATGCGTTTTTGCACCTTGTCTAAAAGAAAAAGGACATCATTAGAAGATCCGCCCCAGATATGGCAACAGTATTCCATACAAGGCCGGATTTGAAATTTATAGAGATAGAGAATAGAATCCAGAGTTAGAAAGTGTCGAGGTCAATAAAGAAATGCAATCTTAGCAGATGCTAAATTTGCAACGGATTTGATATAAGGTTTCCAGGAGAGTTAATCCTAAAAGATGAAGGGTAGATGACTCATCGAGTACATTACCGTTCATAAATATAGGAAGGTCTAAATTATTGCAATAATGATTGGCTGAAAAAAAATTGAGTTTTATCTGAATTAAAGTTCATCAGCCACTGTGAGCCACATGCTGTAGCAGAAGTGAGATTCTTTTCAAGCTCAGATGCCCCCTGCAAGCAATCAGAGAGAGTTGGCTTCTTATCGTGACAAGAATAAATGGTAGTATCATCAGCGAACAATGCCACCTTAGATGTGAGAATATCTGGAAGATTGTTAAAATAAATTAAAAAATGCATAGGGCAAAAGATTGAACCTAGAGGAACCCCTTAGGTTACAGAATAAGAAGAAGAGTGCTGTCCATCAAGGACAACTTTTATACTTTAATTGGAAAGAAAGGATTCAATAATCTTAAAGATGTTTCCAGATACACCGTAAGAAGAAAGCTTATGGAGAAGACCAGCATGCCAAACTTTATCAAACGCTTTAGAAATGTCAAAAGTGATGGCCTTAACCTCTCCACTTTTATCTAATGCACAATAAAATCTGTTGGTTATTACTGTTACCAAATCAGCCGTAAGATGAGAAGATCGAAATCCATATTGATGATCAAAAAGTAAGTTATTAGATTCAAGATGAGAGATTAAGTGTTTGTTAATTAAAGACTCAAAAACCTTGCTTATGATAGGAAGAAGACTAATGGGACGGTAGTTAGATGAATCATATCGCTCTCCAGAATTTTTGAAAATAGGGATAACATAGCGGGCTTTGGCATTAGACAAAACCTTTTTACAATAGTTCCTAGCAGTAATAAACAGACAAAAATAGCACATATTTAAATATGTAATAAATTTATTATGACAAAACCTAAAATCTAAGAAATTATAAATGTAAAAAAGCGCAATTAATTTTTATTGCAAAATAACAAATTATTATTATACAATAATTTTGTTTTTTGTTTTTTACAATTGTTTTTTAATTAATATTATTATTATTTCTTATTACTATAATTTTTTTTCATAGACTAAAGTAATCTACAAGAAACGTTATTTTCTAGAGAAAATAACGAATAAAGTTTTAAAATTAAATCTAAAAAATCAATTTTTAATAATGATAAAAAAACAAACTCTTTTAAAAAATATCTCTTGATAATAAGTTAATACAACTTTATAATAACTTGATAATAAGTTAATACAACTTTTAAAATGATAATTAATAAATAAACATTTAACAATCTATTTATGTTTTATTTATTTTCGTCAAACTATGTCATGAAAGTTTTAGTTTAATAAAAGACGAAAATTTTCAGAAAAAGTTTGAATTCGGTAAGATGTTTATTTTATATACTATTTATAAAATTAATTTATAAAATGACTTAGTTAATATATTTCATGCTACTGTTTGATAAGAACTTGCTGGTTTTGCTGAATATGAATAAAAACTGGAAAGCGATTGGTGTGTAAGTCGAACTTTTTGGGCAACTTTAGTCAAATTTCCGAATACAGTGCCATTACCTGTCGCGATTACAATGCCCACACATTTACCGCTTAGTATTTCTGTTCCAGCAAAAAGCACATTTTCACTGTGTAAAAAATCCCTATTTGTAAAAATATTTGACTTTTTTTCAAATTTATTACCAGTTATAATACGGTTATCAACAACTAGACATCCTTCAAATTGAAAAACTACGATATCCGCTGGAACAATCTGACCACATTCTAAATGTATAATGTCTCCTTTTACCAAATTTCTTCCGGTTATGTTTTTTTTTATGCACTCTCGAATAACACAATAGGTTTTGTTAATTCTGTAATTAAAAACTCTATCCCAATCCTTTTTTGACCAGTCTGTTTTTGAATAAATGCACGGAAGTAGTTTCTTAATGGCAGACTTTGATTTTGTATTTTTTTTTGGCCTAGAATATTTGTTGCATCCATAAACTTTAAGTAAAACTTTGGCATCAATATTTTTAACTCCATGCATAAGATCCGTATTTAAAACGTAGCATATTTTGTCAAGACTAAAAGAATGTATTTGGTTTTCGACTCCAAAACTGTAATTGCCACTTCTCTCTCCCATTGCTTTTGTATTTTTCCGTAATTTTAAAAAGCTGAAATGTTTATATCATAAAATTTGCATTAGTAACGACGTCATTTCCGTGATAATTTAAATGAAACTCGTATCCTTCCCACAAAAGTGATAAAATTTGACAATAATCTGAATGAATAAATACTGTTGCGTATCTTTAATTATTTTTATATAATTAACTTTTTTTAATTATATAAATATTGCTAAAATCAATGTTGAGCATTAGGGGTGAAACATAACGTAATCTTTTAAAAAACAGCCATTAATATTTTAACATCGTTCTTCTTGATCAAATATAACGGTGAGGTTGGTAATAAAAAAAAAAAAGAAATTCTCAAAATTTCTTTTGGTATTTTTAATAAGCAATTTTAATTTTCAAAAGTGTTTTTAAGTAACAAAGATGGTGAACGGGTTAAGTAACTAATAGAGATAAGGGTGTTGAAGGCGTAAAGTAAAGGTGTTAGAGGTAAATAAGGGAGTTACATGATGGTGTTGAGCAAACAAATTTAGAAGTTTTTTATCTATCTATGTTATTGGGTCATAAAAAACTCAGTAGGCAATTATGGTTTATCAGAAAACGTAGTGTTATTCATTTTTAAATTCAAAATATAAATAAACTCTTTGGTAACTCTCTAGAGAAAATCAGTATTTTAAAACTAGTGAAAAAACATTTCTTTAAAAAATGATCTTTAAAAAAACTTGAATAAACTTGATACAAAAAAGATTGACGTAAAATATCTGTTCAAAAACACTTTGACGTTTAAGCTGATGACGTTTGGACTCGTGACGTTTTTAATGTCAGCTTTTTTAATCAAAACAAATAAACCCTTCATCATATTAGGACTTGTTTGTATCTTGTTTAAATCTTGGCTTTATATGGAATTTAGAAAAATGTTTTTTTATTAATATGTGACCCAAAATATGTGCGAGCTTAAAAATAACAACAAAATGCTCTAAACTGATTTTATCTGAAGTTATAAGCAAAAATATGTCACATTTCACAATTACAATTCCGATATAGAAATCAAAACTCTATAGCTAGCCATTTTTTGCTTTTAATTTCTTTTTATTTCTTCATGATCACACGTTTTGTTAATAATTACTAGTACAACAGTTTTAGATTAAAGTAAATAACATAATGATGACACGCGAATGAAAAATAGTTTTTATTTTAATAAGTTATCACAAAATTTTAAAACAATATGTTGTACAAAATCAGTAAAAAAAATACAAACTTTAACAATTACTTAATTTTATTTATGCTTCAAAAGTCTTTTTGTAATTTTTTTTTATTAGTAAAAATTGAAACTTAAATAAAAATTAGATTAGATCAGTTTTTTTATACTGCTTGATATGTTGCGATTTAATTACGATTTTATACTGTTTGATACGTAGCGATTTAATTACGATTTTGGTTAAATGCGTCTCATATTACCTTTTAAAGATATATATAAGTTTTTTAATTTTTAACAAAAAATCATTCTATTATCTCTTTATAGCATAATGGTTTTTTTGAAAATAGAAGTTTAATTTATCTCATTAGTTTTATATAATTTTATTAAATTAATTTAATGTTTAACAGATATGATATAACTGTGAACATTTATCGCGTGTAACAAAAAAATGTTTTAAATTAGAATAGGATTAGACAATTAAAACAATTAAACATAAGACAACGTTAGACAAAGTTAAACTAAGGCAAAATAAAAAACACATTAAGATGTTTTTTGTTTTAAATTGAATTTAAAATGCAATAAAAAAACTAAACTTGATATTGACTTTTTATTTTTTGTTTCTTTTAAGATAAATTGTTATTTAATTAATATTTCACTGAGGTGAAATATTTATTAAAAAACATTCTGAAATATTTTCTTTGCGCAATAATTATTAAAAAAAAAATGACAAATAACATTAAAGTATTTTAAAAATAAGCTCAACATTTTTTTTTTGTTTTTTTTTGTTTGTTTGTTTTTTGTTTTGTTTTTTTAGGTGGCCTAAGATGACCTAACGGTCTTGCCACAGAGCACCGCGGAAATACATTTAACCAGAAAGTTGAAGCTGATGATTAAGGCAAAAATCGTATCTTCGCCATTTTTGAAGCTGAAAAGCTAAATTTTTCGGTGAATTTTCATTATATCTTGATCAACAATAACTATCATTGTAATGTTGGTTGTCATACCTCTGAAGGACACTCCAATAACACAAAACCAAGGACAAATGAAATAACCAAAAATAAACAGCAAAACACTCAGGGGCGGATCCATACCACCTAGTAAGGAAGAGGTGGAGAGCTTTTAAAACATTTTTTGATTCGGTGCATCCAGACCATTTAGGAAAGAATGAGGGAGTGGGGTTTATGTTAGTTTATTTGATCCAAGCTAATTAAGTTGGGGGAGGGGGCGGTTTTCATGTTTTTTAGTTAATTTTTTAAAATCTTAATCTTTTATCTTAATCTAGGAAACTATATCAGTCCAATTTTTTTTTGCACAATTCTGACTCATTAAAATTTTTTATAACTTTTCAAACAATTGTCAAGTTAAATATAAATTTACAAAAAAAAAAATATTTCAAAATATATAAGAAAAGATGGTGGTGTGATATTTTAAAAAATTTTCTTTTAGCCATATAAATCGAACATCATTTGTATCAGAAAATGGTTTCAAAAACGAGTTGCGTTTTAATATATAATCATTTGTATTACGAACATTAAAGCAATCAAAAAAATCATTAAAATATTTGCAAAACTGTGCAGTTCCAGAAGTCTATAGAAATCTATGCATCATCAGAAGAATCTGATGGTGCATAGATTTCTAATGCAGTACTACATGAATTACTTAAAACTTGTGCAGCTAAACGAACATTCATAGCTGAAAATGGACTTATTTTGATGTGCTCAACAGTTAGCTTTGGACATGCATGCAATTGACATTTCAAATCTTCATAAAACAAATCAGTTATATGAGACCATAAAATATGTTGACCCTGATTCCACATATAACGATTGCTTTTACCAGCTCCAGAATAATAAAGGCTGTTCTAATTAAATGAGGGATATCAGGAATAAAATAAACAAATCTTTTATCACCATCATCAGCAAATAAATTTTCAGTGCGGTAGGTCACATCAACATGACCATTGTTATCAACTTTCTCATTCAGATCAAAATGCATTTTAAAAAAAATTTCTATTTGATGATGCTCCATCACAAGTAACTGCAACTACTTTCTATTTGATGATGCTCCATCACAAGTAACTGCAACTACTTTCTATTTGATGGTGCTCCATCACAAGTAACTGCAACTACTTTTTATTTGATGATGCTCCATCACAAGTAACTGCAACTACTTTCTATTTGATGATGCTCCATCACAAGTAACTGCAACTACTTTTAGGCCAACAGAGATTTCTAAAATGCTTTCCAAAATAGAGAAAATTTCTATAGCTTTCCAAAATAGAGAAAATAATTGCACTGATGTAATATTTATAGTAGCAAAGTTTGCAAAACTATATTTGAAAGGATTTACAATACTTCTTATTAAAAAAAACTAATACATGAGAAGCAAGTTTGTCTGCTTGCTGTAATGCTGCAAAATTAACACTTGGATTGCCCAAATCAACATAACCAATTAATTCTCCACAATGTTTGTCCCAAACAACATTTTCATTTCATCAAGAACTAGGACAATAAATTTTTCTTGAGCTGAAAATTGCTTTCAATACTTTTACTTATAGCTAGTGATGAATTTTCAATCTCCTGCTTCATCAAAGCTAATTCATTTTTTAATTCTTTATTTTCCAGATGAACACTCTGTAATGTAAGCTTCAGACGATCTGGAGATGTAAATTTAATTGGTGCATTTAATTTAGCAGGGATACAAGCATTGGCAACATTTTTTTTCAAACTTATGATTTTACTTTTTTCAATCCTTTTGCATTGAGAACAGGTCAATCAGCATAATACATGATTGAGATCGCAAATACTCTGTCTGATTTAAGGGAAAATCACTCCTAGATGAAAATAAATCAAACTTTTTTGAAATACAATGTTTAATATGAAGATTTGATTTTAAAGCTAATACATCAGTTATTCCAGAACAAAGGGTGAAAGAAGTAACAACAGAAATAAGATTTAAAACTGAAATATGTCGCATTGATCTTCTGTATTTTGCATATATTGAATGATCATCTGGAATGAGCCAAGAATATACACGAATGGTAAAAGCAAGACTGTCATCAACATATATTTCATATCGAGGACATAAGTGGATTGTGTCATAAAGTTTAAATTCTGCCACAACAGGACTCACACTTACTGCCCAGTCACAAATCTTTACCTTACTAATACAATTTAGGAACTCTTCGTATGATTTATATATGGGTTTAAAGGTAATAATACTATTTGAAATCATTGAAGCATCTCTTTTAGCAACGATAGAAGATGCAGATTTCCTTTGTATAGGAATTGATGACATAAAACTTTTTTTTGGAAGACACAAAGTCGGTAATGATCCAGGTTTTAGTGACTTTCTGTTGTCGTTATGAAGTATCATTTGTGTAAGATAATGCTTTTCACAAATAAACAGACACTTTCTTTCTATTTGAGCCTTCAAACTTATATCTTTAACACGATCTTTAAGAATGATGGCTTTTAAATTTTCCCTTTAAGAAGTATTATAAAACTATCGTTAGATGCAGGAACTTTAAATATTGAAACTCCCTTATACCTCCGAGAAGTACTGCATCCATACATATATATATATATATATATATATATATATATATATATATATATATATATATATATATATATATATATATATATATATATATATATATTATTTGACATTTTTATTTTTAGGCATGGACTAAAAACACCATCAAAACACTATTGCCAACATGAACACAAAAACGATATAAAAATGCTCTGAAATGAAAGATAATGACCTTTACCTTTTTAATGCTCATTTTTATAAAGCTATAAAAAAATGTGA